GTATTGTTAAATTTAAAATGTCGTCCACAGTTTAGCATGCGAGAGCCCCCTAGACGCGCGGGTGAAGTCTGCACTGCTTGCAGACACGCTGACGCTGGTCGGTCTACCGGCCGTGCCCATGTCCAAAGGAGAGTCTTCCGGGCCGTCGAATTCGCTCAAGGTGCGGATTGGTGCGGTGAGACATTTTTATGAATATATTCAATATAGTACATTTTTTAGCATTTACCTATTGCATTTTATTTTGCAAATTAATTATAAGCCCAGGTAAAGAAATCGATGTAAAACGTAAGTGGTGCAATCTGATCTGTGCCTTAAGTACCACTTTTACGTTCATCACTTTCAAAATATTTTTCTTTAATAATTACACATCTAGTATAACCTGAAATAGAGACGAAATGTCATTTAATTTGTTTGAAAAGTATTCTGCTAAATTGCGCTCCGATTGGCCAGCCCGAATTCGAAACAATTGACGGGTGTCGTCAATTGTTTCACTTCACAAATCGACATGTTTAACTTGACCTTTGCTATAATGGACGATATTTTTTCATCGAAAGAAAAGGTTGGGCGCACCACAGTCCATTGTCAAGTTCGAATTTCAAAAACCTGATCCACGATTGCGCAAAAAACGCCTTTGCGCCATTCAGGTAATACGTACTAAATTTCCGAGTAATTGAGGTGAAAAGTAATTTACTTACATTTTTATCCGTTTTTACATTAATAATAATAACATAGCCCCGCACTAGCGAAACCCTGTGTCGCGGGTGCCATGGACATAGACAACCACAAATTACACCCAAACACGAGAGAAATAAATGTCGGCCATACAAATATTTCTCCCGGCCCGGGAATCGAACCTGGAGCCTCTGCGTGGCAGTACGGCATGGTAACCGTTCGGCGGAGGCAGTTTATTATTGAGTATAATCAGGCTCTGTGTAACCCCGCGACTTGCCGGCAGTGCCGCCGCGTGCACTCGGCCGAGAACGTGTGCGCGATGCGCAACGGCAAGGGCGGAGGTGGCGGGGTGGGCGCGGCGGGGGGTGCAGGGGCCATCCCTAACCCGCTGGCCGCGCTCACCGGCGAGGAACTGCGTCTCGTGCGCGCCGTCAGAGGGCAGTACGCCCGGAGGGGGGGCTTCGTCAGGATTTTCCCCAGCCAGAACTCCTGGCAGAAGTATTCGCAGTATTTAGGTAAACTTCTGTTCCTGTATCTATAATTTCTAAGCTCTCTCTGTAGCGGTGTGAAAGAATACCTACAGTCGTTCATTAAAGGAGTATGTTTTTTTTTATAAAATATAAGTGGGCATTTGACCACCATGTCACCTGATAGATAGTAACGATGAAGCGACGGTGGAGCATGTACACCTAAATAATGCCTATTCACTCTCGCCTTGAAAAGACCTAAGTTGTAACGTTCATATAAAAATGTATTGTATATGAAAGAAATTAAAATAATACTTTTTTGATCTCATTTCTTATTACTAGTAGTATAAAGTAAATCTTAATACTAAACATTGAGATCCAACGAATAACAAAAGATAAGTATTAATTAACAATTTTAATATTAATAACTTATTATAATAACCAAAACCAAAATAATAAAACAAGTAAAGATAGAAAAAACTGCTTATTAACTTTAATAAGGCTGGCAATACAAGTCAGATTTCGTGTATGATAGTCGCTTCCGATTATCTGATCGTATTCTCAGTGAATGCGATCAGATAATATACACACCCGATTCTTCGATTTTTTTGAACTCAGTCCTTTCAGAGCTAGCCTTGCGAAGGTATTGATCGCATAAACTTACTTAGTTATTGGATATTTCGTCGGCTCACAGCAAGAAGTCACTAACTGATAAGAACGAAAATTTCATTAGAGCAGTTAATAATTTTTTCATATGTTAAACGGCCATAGCATCGTAAGCATTGTATTAATTAAAAAATAAATAAAAATGCCATATTTAATTCAATCAAATCAATGCCATTTTTTTTATTAATACAATACTATATAATAGTACTATATAAAAATCCGGAAAAATTGTTTCATTTCCTACAATACAATACTTATAAGAAAAAGTTATTAACTGCTCTTTTGAAATTTTATTTTTGTCAATTAGTGACTTCTTGCAATAAGCCGACGATTTGCTCGTTTTGTCGCGAAAGAAGAAAAAATGTATTTGACAATCGGACCGGCAACAAAATCGTGAACCTCTCGGCGGCGCCCAAAAGATCTTTGCGATTTAAAGCTCTGAGGGGCACTGCAACTGTTTCGGATAGGCGTGTCGCTTACCACCAGGCGCACGACTTGTTCGTCCCGTCACTTGATGTTTTTAAAAAAAAAGAACAAGTAGGTATGTGGTAACTCCATGTAAAACGTCGCAGCGTGGCTTGTATGTGTGCGCGCCCGCCGTACGAACGTACGAACGTACGCATTCGTATAACTTGAAGGTCCTCTAGCATTATACAACATTGGTTGTCTCAACGCTTATTTCATTAGGGATGTGAATGTGTGCGTCCGTACACGTTTTGTGTTAAATAAATAAAAATAAAAACTTGTCAGTACTGCCTATTTTCCAGACCCAGTCACAGGTATTCCAGTCTGCTCGACATCCCTGAATAATAATGTTCCGTACGCCGTAGTGCAGCACAACTACAATCTATTGGTACACTCGCATGTCCTGCCGCACTTCCAGCACGCCACTGTGGCCACTTCAGTCACCGATACTCCACAGAGGTCAGTGGCCAAGCAACACAAACTCAAACTTGAATATTTTTTTCTCATGCTCTAAAAGTACGTCAATATAACCTTACGTAGACAGAATAAAGTACATCTTTTAATCTCTAGGGACTAAAACGTACCTAATTTTTTAATTTACTTCGAGTGAACAAACTCAAACAGCCAGTAATCATCGAGTATATAACCAGAAATAGAGACGAAATGTCATTTAATTTGTTTGAAAACTATTCTGCCAAATCATTACTGTGACAACTGCGCTCCGATTGGCCAGCTCGAATTCGAAACAAGTGACGGGTGTAGTCAATTGTTTCACTTCAAATCGACCAGTTTAACTTGAGCTTTGCTATAATGGACGCAAATAGAAAAATGACATATCGACTGTGAACTGGCAACCGGGACTATCTTAATTTTGACAACTTTACAGGATGAAGAAAAGAAAATTTATATAGCATCTGGTTTATTTAATAAAAATACGTAGTGTACATACATACATGTGTAAAAAAATATTAAAAAACTACGTATTTTTATTTAATAAACTATACAAATGTCAAGCTATACAGATGACGCAAACAATTTTTTTCTTCACCTGTAAAGTTGTCAAAATTGGGATAGTACCGATTCCCTGTTCACAGTCGATATTTAATTACCGATGAAATGTGATAGTTTGTTGGTGCTGTACTATTGCAGCTTTCACATTTGTAATTTCAGTGCAAACGAGACATTGACTTACAATTATATGGACGTCAGTTCCGCGCTAAAAAGTGTCCGAACTTATAGGGCGTTAAAATCGTATAAAGAGCGTAATTCACGCTCTAGTCTTCGTTTGTTCGACTGACAGCGAAGCAAACAAAATTAGACAGTACAGCGATGACATTACAATTTAAATTCAACGTTTTAGCTTTTTCATATTCCTTTACATGTCACTACGTTTAAATAGGTTGACTTGGGACATTTTTTTCGTGGTTTTTGTATTAGACCCGTCGTCCATTTATTTTTAAGTCAATGAAACGAGAGTTTATATTTAAATGATATAAGACCCATTTGCCTGATGAGTTGCCAGTGATGGAAGGCTCTTATTTCGTCTCTATTTCTGGTTATATACTCGATGACACAGTATAAATAAAATAAATGTGTATTTCAGACTAAAGCGCTACGAGGCTGTGACGGTGACGTCAACTGCGCCGGCCATCTGCCTCGCAGAGGCGCCGCAGCTGCACCACGACACGCGCCGCGCCAAGGAGCTAGTCAAGCGGCAGCTCAGCGAGGGCATGAAGCTCACGTTAGTGCAGCAACCTTTATATGTCCCACTGCTGGGCACTGATCTCCCCCAACGAGAAGGTTGAATGAATGAATGAACGGGATTTATGAATTGATTAATGGTAAGAACGAATGAATTATTGGTATGAATGAAATAATTAATGGTGTGAAAGAATGAATTCATGATATGAACGAATGAATTCGACCCCTCCTACGTAAAGTATCGTATGTCGAAATTGCCAAGTTTACAGGGGAGCGTTTTAAAGTTCTGAATTCACTGAAAGAGTGATCACCATAGATCATCTAACCGATATCTAGGATTTTATAATACTCTATGTGAGTAATGAGCTTTGCCGAATAAAACTGAGAAATGCTAAAGTCACGTGTTATGCTCGTTTCAGTGAATTCAGAACTTTAAAACGCTTCCCTGTAAACTTGGCAATTTCGACATACGATACTTTACGTCGTCGGAGGGGTCGAATTAATGGTATGAATAAATAAATATAATACAAATAATAAATATTAGATAACATCACATGCGTTGCTCTGGTCTCAAAGTAAGAAACTAAAGCTCTTGTGTTATGGAAATTGGAAACAACGACGATACCACAAACACCCAGACCCAAGACAATACAGAGAGGTAGTTTTTTTCCACATTGACCCGGCTGGGAATCGAACTCAGAACCTAAGAGAGGGCAATCCCATGAAAACAAGTGCTCAAGCCACTGAACCACATACGTCGTCTATATAAATGAATAAACGAACGAATTGGTATAAATGAATTAATGCTATGAAAGAATGAGTTTTAAGAATCTATACTACTTTGCTTAGATCGAGCCGTACGGACACCGGTTTTATTTCAGAATTTATTTTTTTTACCAACGAAACTAAAACCATTTGAAAAATGTATATCGTACAGTAATCGTGGTTTATTTAGTTCAAGTGATATAAAAAAAAACTATTGGTATATGTAAACTACCTATTGAATGCAACGGTTTTCTTCATTGACTTACAAATAAATGGACGACGGGTCTAATACAAAAACCACGAAAAAAATGTCCCAAGTCAACCTATTCGAAATTTAAATTGTAATGTCATCGCAGTATCGCGCTGTCAGTCGAACAAATGAAGACTAAAGCGGAGTGTCGCGCTCTGTATACGATTTTAGCGCCTTACAAGTGCGGACACTTTTTAGCGCGGACCCGACGTCCATATAATTGTAAGTCAATGGTTTTCTTTTAAAATTTCGAAGTTTGTGGTTTTTTTTCTATGGCGAAAATTTTTGGGAATAATGTTTTCACATCAGTGTATATCCTCAATTATACTATATACACTCCCGGGCACATAAATCGAGACAGCTAAGCTTAAACAATGTTTGATTGATCAATTTCCATAAATCTTGCTGGAAATTTGTATTTGCAAAACCGAGGAAAAACTTTGTATTCTAGCCCTTTAATACAAAAATGCAATGGCTCGAATTCCATGTCCGGAAGTATATTTTTTCCGAAGCGATTGACTCAACACCTTCACTGTTTTGCGGAATCAACCAAAATCATTTGAGGTTGTGTACTCTTAATGGCGTAAATGAATGACTGAACGGAACGAGTGAATGAGTAGCCTCGGTATGCCTCGGACGACATCTCTTACAAGAAGCGGTCGGTGCAGCATGGGCGAGGGCCGGCGCGCCTTCGGGCTGTTCCTGACGCACGTGCTGAAGCGCGTGTCGTCGCCGGCCAACGAGCTGGCCGTGCAGCACGCGGCGCTGGTGCTGCGCTTCCTCAAGCGTGCTTCGGCCTCGCTGCGCATGCCTTACAATGTAAAGGTGACTTGCTTTCCGCTTGCTGCTCTTCGCACGCTTCCTTCACTGGCCTTTTAGTGATCCAATACGCTGAACCCCCTAGGAGTGACCCACAGTGCTTCAAATAGTTACTTGTTTGCAAGGCTTTATCGACTATAACCAGAAATAGAGACGAAATGTCATTTCATTTGTTTGAAAACTATTCTGCCATATCATTACTGTGACAACTGCGCTCCGATCGGCCAGCCCCAATTCGAAACAATTGACGAGTGTCGTCAATTGTTTCACTTCAAATCGACCAGTTTAACTTGAGCTTTGCTATAATGGACGAAAGTTGCAAAATAACATATTTAACTACCGATGAAAATTGATTCCGTTTGTTTTATAATTAGAAATATTATCTTTATTACAATAAATACAGAATATTTTTTGGAATATACGGAGACGTACATAGACGTCAGTTGTTGGCGCTGTACTGATGTGTTACAAGGAATGTGTGGCCCTTATTTCGTCTCTATTTCTGGTTATATACTCGATGCAAGGCTTTAACGTTGTACGCGAGTGCTTGCATTGCAACCTGAGCTAGCGAAGGATTTCAAGGCATGAGACCCAAAACAACGTTGCAGCCGAGCACTGTAGCGAGAAAAATGGTAGATGAAAGAAAAACAGTTGAACTATAACAAATCAGTTTTAATAAACAAAATTAGTTATCGATGTCAATTTGATGTCAAAAATAATAAGAATAAAATATACCAACGGATTTATATTACGTAAATAATGTACGACAAATTGCGTAGTTGAATGTGTCATTGCTTTTTTTTTCATCGAAAGATCGGGCTTTTAAGTGGTCATATTGACCTTTTGCGAATATGACCTTTTCCACGTAATCGTTTCTGTAGTATTGCATTGTGTACTATCACCATTGATCGGAATTGAAGAAGTTAATATACCTAAAGTATGAACGTTTTCTTAGTATGGACATACCCATTTCGTCAGCAATGCCTATAAAATTTCTTTTTTTGCTGTTTATTTTCTAAACAGTCCAATATATAAGTCGTCTCTTGTTTATTATTCAAATAGCTAAAGTGTTTGAATACTCAAAAAACAATACACAATATTATTTTTTGAGACAATAATTTGTAGCAAATACTTAATTCACAGTTAGTCTTTTATTATTTCCTCGAATTGTTTGTCAAAAACAATATTATGTATTTCGGCTTTAACGAGAATTACGTGACTCATATAGTACTCATATTCGTCCGGCAATTCCTTACCTTCCGACTTAATAGGAAATAGTAAGCAAATGTGCTTAAATTTCAATAAATAACACGCATATTCAAACATAATGAGTTCCTAGAAGTCCCGGGATATTTAGAAGAAAATGTCCACGTTATTCTTTAATTTAGCTAATTTTACGCCCTCGATTCCGATCCCTAATAATCATACAGTACAAACACTTTCTGAATATCTCTCGGCAATCTTCGTGTTTCGGCTGTCATCGGGTTTCTACCAGTTGCCTTGCTATAGACCAGCAGGGCTAAAAAGGCCACATTGGCAGAATCACAATATGATTAACATTATTATTAATTTTCAAACAAAAAAAAACACAATTCATCTATTTCACAGTGTTCTATGGAGACCTTCATATCTATACGATAGCTCTTAGTAATTTAAAAATATACCCTGTATATATAAATATTTGCGTATGTTTAAAAACTCTTCACATATTATACACACGGGGCCTTAGTAGGATAAATGTAAAATGTAATTATTACAGGCGTACCGCTTCACTGAGGCGGTTCCTAGGTAACTGCGTGTTGCGGGGGGAGTGACGGTCTACGTAACAGTTATGTCGCGCAGAGTAGTACTGCCATCTTACCTATTTCTGTCGCCAAGCAGTAATGTCAGCATTACTGTGTTCCGGTTTTAAAGGGTAAGGGTGCTGGTGAAATTACAGGCACATGGGACTTGTCAACTTATGTCTCAGGGTGACGGGTGCAGTGGCAGTGCCGCTCGGATATTTGAGATTTAAAGCTCTGAGTGGCACTGCAACTGTTATGGACAGGCGTGTGGCTTACCATCAGGCGCACGACTTGTTCGTCCCGTTACTTGATATGGTATAAAAAAGTAACTACCTCCGTGGCCGAACGGTTACCATGCCGGACTGCCACGCAGAGGTCCCGGGTTCGATTCCCGGGCCGGGAGAAATATTTGTATGGCCTACATTTATTTCTCTCATGAGTTTGGGTGTAATTTGTGGTTGTCTATGTGTGTGTCCGTGTCACCTGCGACACAGGGTTTCCCTAGTGCGGGACTATGTTGAGTTTGCGCGTTATTATTATTATTAAGTTGATTGTAAAAGTGCCAAATGGCTTGTCTATTCATTTCAATTACCAATTAAATAGTTTTTTTTTATCATAATTTCCCATAACAACATCGCACCCCCATGGAAGAATGGCATAGTTACGTCAAAAATGTTTATTGCTCCATTGAATACAGAAAAATCTAACCCACATCTCCTCCAATTTTTGTACATCTATCGACAATATTAGTTATTATTATTGTTATTAATCACCATCGAGTATATAACCAGAAATAGAGACGAAATAATCAATCACAATAATCCATCATCAGCCATCGCTGGCAACTCATCGGTCAAATGGGTCTGATATCACTTTTAAATATCAACTCTCGTTTGCGCTGAAATCACAAATTAGAAAGCCGAAATAGTACAGCGCCAACCACTGACCTATGTGTAAGTCTCCGTATATTCCAAAAATATTATGTATTTATTGTAATAAAGATAATATCTCTAACTATGGAGGGGCTGTTCCATTCGATGGTGTGGGAAAAACAGCAAAACATCTAATTACAGAACAAACGGAATCATATTTCATCGGTTATTACATTGACTTACAATTAAATGGACGTCGGGTCCGCGCTAAAAAGTGTCCGAACTTATAGGGCGTTAAAATCGTATACAGAGCGTCATTCACACTTTAGTCTTCGTTTGTTCGACTGACAGCGAAGCAAGCAAAATTAGACAGTACTGCGATGGCATTACAATTTAAATTCAACGTTTTAGCTTTTTCATATTCCTTTACATGTCACGAGACGTTTAAATAGGTTGACTTGGGACATTTTTTTTCGTGGTTTTCGTATTAGACTCGTCGTCCATTTATTTGTAAGTCAATGGGTTATTATATATTGAATATGTAATTTTTAAATTTTCATCCATTAGAGCAAATCTCAAGTTAAACTGTTTGATTTGATGTGAATCTATTGGCGACACCCGTCAATTGTTTCATCACCGTAATGCTATGGTAAAATAGTTTTCACACAAATTAAATGACATTTCGTCTCTATTTCTGGTTTGTATACTCGAAGTTAGTCACTTATGCCATTTTTCCATGAGGGGTGCGATTTGACTAATTTGGTATTTATTTTTTGCAATGAACTTGCAATTGAATATCGTCAGAAAAATCTTGTTGAATTTATCCCGTGTGCGACATAACTGTTACGTAAACTGTCACTCCTCCCGCACCGCGCTGCTCCCTCAGGAACCGACTCAGTTAAGCGGTAGGTCTGTACGTAAATACATTTAACATATTTCTTTATTAAGTTTCACTAACTTTCAAAACGCTTAACAGCTTAACTACGCTGTTAAGACTACCTAGAGACAAAACTAGCTAAAAAAATGCGAAATTAATCTCCCAACACGTTGAGTATGTATTGTGGCACTTTCTATACATATCAATTTCTCATTCCGGTTATATATGATTGATATCTGAAGACGAGTCTTGGAATGATACTTAATTTATTTATGTAACAAACCTACTTTACACAATAGACGACATTCCGGCCTTGAAGATGTAGAGAGTGGTAACAGCATAGAAAAATGCAGTAGAAGTGCGTAGTTGCGTGGTACGTGTGCCAACAGTTCGCGGAGTTTCGATAACTTGAGCTCAGTCTGCCATTTTTGCTTTATGCATTATGGTCTTGTCAATTAATCTTGTACAAAACCACGAAATACCTTATTTTACTACTTTGCAAAAATGATCGCGAACACCTTAAAACTGGATACACAATTCTGAAATTTGAGAATTTTGGGTGACGTCATTATAATGGTATCACCAAATATGACATCCGAAAAATTCTTACATTATTTTATTTATTTATTTATTTATTTATAAGCAAACTTAACAGCTATTACATCTTCTATACAATTGTAGATTAAAAAATTATAAAGCCAATTATAAAGTTTGACCTTTTAACATTTATATTGACGTTACTTAAGCTATTTCTGAGATGTTATACAACAGTCAAATTTTCAATTAATACTAAGATTTGAAAAAACAAAAGAGAAAAAAAAAATGAAATACCAAATCTTTCAACTAAAATTCACATTAATTAACGAATGCTTTTTAAACATGGCTAATTTATGTATAGTTAGTACCGCATTGCAAGTTAAACAATCTCTATAGTTGTATGGGTGAATTAACAATAGTTGATGGGAATAACGCACGTGCAAATTTGCAAAGAAATATTGGTAAACGTGTACTTGGGCACTTCGACAAAGTCATAACTAATTGAACTAAGAAACATTTCCAGTTTCGATAGGTGAATTACAGGCACATGGAACTTGTCAACTTATGTCTCAGGGTGACATAAGTTGACAAGTGAAAAACTTTTCTGAAGTAATTCTTGTCTGAGTGTTCTGAGTAGTGCACCGGATTTACTCGTTGCTCTTGTCCTCATAGCACACGGATTTCCCTAGTTTGAGGCTGGTACATTATTATTCCATAGTACTTGTTAAGCGCGATGCATCAACGTTTGATAATTCCCCTACATACAGTCTGTTTTTTTTAACTGAGAAAGAAGAAGGAAATCCGAAACTGTAGGAGATACAGGAAAACTATCCTAGGAATCATTAAGCCTTTTTTTGTGAAAACAATTTTGGCATAGTAAATTTTTTTGTCAAGATCATATTGTCAATAGAAACGAATAAATAAAAATCCTTTATTTTCAATTAATCCAGAGGTTGTTAGTAAAATGTACCATTATAATTATTTTATTATATGCAAAGAAGTTAACCTTCTGAGAATAGCCGAGTCCATACTATTTGCTATCATCTTCAGGATTCCATTGTTGTTCCCCCATACTAGATAAAATGGATCATTGTTTTTTTACTGCTGATCGACTCAGTTTCAAGTAAGGATAATTTCATCGAATGGGGGAAAATATCGGAAAGCAGAAGGTCATATTCAATAAAATATTTTTCATAGAAAATTATTACAATTTATTTTTATAATGTTGATAGACTCCGTTTCTTACAGGGATTCTAATCTCATTGTATAGGAAGAAAAGATCAAAAATTTTATTAATTTTGTGTGATTTTTTTTTTATTAAATTAGATCAACTTCTACTGTCCCAATTTTTTTCTTCCAATACAATAAAATGATCGTTACAAGAAAGTAAGTCTTAGTTCCCTGTATCTCCTATGGTATCGGTTTTCCCCACATTGTCTCAATTAAAAAAAACACACTATATACTCGTCGTAATAGAGCAAAGTATTTTGGCTAGAGTTGTCCCTAACACGTTTACAACATTTTTCGATCCACGTTCATATTCGTCACGTTGTGAAGGGTCCCCCGCCCAAGATGTGCGACAAGGACCGCTGCGCCGTGATCGCGAAGCAGCTGAATGACTTCCTCTACATGTACTACCGCGAGACCGACCTTTACACCGACAGCGAGGACCGGAAGGGATGCGTTTCCAATATTCACTTTGCGCAGTTCCTCTATTCTGCCAGGTAAGAAAGATTAAAACAAATTTGACCACGTTTTTCTTAAAATGTACTATCAACAAAGCTGACGCTTGACCACGTTCAGGGTGCTTTTTGTACGCAAGCATCGAGGCGGTCAGTAATGACCACCAAGCACGCAATTTGCTTTTATTTGTCAATAACCAAAAAGAAATAAATTGCCTTCCTGGTGGTAAGGCTATTGAAATCTAATATATTTTAACGAATCAATGGGTATGACTAAATTGGTAAAATTTGCTGTTAAAATAGCACAGTGGAGTCTCGGTAATCCGAAATTATTGGGACGAGACCCTTTTCGGATTAAAGAATAGGTCGAATTAACAATTTATTTTACTTTGGACAAATATCCATAATTATTGAGTTACTTAAGGAATCCTTATAAAGTATATTAGTAAAACTCACAAGCAGTAAATTACATTTCGAACTATCGAAGGAAAGTTCTAACACACTCGACATGTACAGCTACCCGTTGACACAGTATTAGTCCATCTTCCCTCTCGGTCACCGTCCGAAGGAGGCCGTTGGTGCCGCCTAGCACCCTACGCATCAATCAGAGAAGCTACCTGTAAGAGCGTCATCAAGCGACATTTTCTTTTTTTTTTTAATAACACACACGCTCATAGCCCTGCACTAGACACACATAGTGTAGTGTAAAATTACGGACCCCTATCATATTCATCTCTCTCATTATACGTTTTCTAGGAAACGCCCTTACTTTTCCTGATTTCTGAAAGAGTTCCAACTAATAAAGAGATTTTTCAACAAGAACTTTGTTTTGTAAATCAAAATAAAACAATAAATTTAGATGACAATGATTCAAATTTTTATTGTATTAAAAAAAGTAAGATTTGGCAATAATGAATGAAAAATGATATTCTGATAAATGTCCACCACGACCGCAGTTACAGATGTCGATTCTTTCGTCAAAGTTTTTATTCACTTTTTGACAAAATGGTGGGTCTATTTCGTTAATCACTTCATGAATTTTGAGTTTTAATGCCGCAATCAATCGATTGGCTCCGTATATACTCTGTTTTTAACATGACCCCATAAAAAAGAATCCAGCGGTGTTAAATCACATGATCGAGCTGACCACTTAACGGCTGAATTTTGTGAAATTATGCGATCGGGAAATTTGGTTTGCAATAAATTCATTGTTTCGGTGGCTGTGTGACTCACACCACATTTACATTGCTCACTCTACTACGTCCTAAGGCTCTCAGTTTTTTCCACCCCGACCTTCTAGCTCTCCCCTCCACAATAGACAACCACAAATTACACCCAATCTCATGAGAGAAATCAATGTAGGCAATACAAAAATTTCTCCCGGCCTCGGAATCGAACCCGGGACCTCTGCGTCGCAGACCAGCATGCTAACCGTTCAGCCAAGGAGGCAATTAAAATAAAATTACCTTCAATTAGTTTTGATTGCGCAGGTTATTTTATAAGGTCTGTCTAAATATAAAACCAAAAATTTCGGCTGGTTTCGGATCAAAACGGCTTTTGTATTGCAAAGTTCGGATTATGGGATCTCCACTGTGTCAAGAATCGGTTTTAATAAAACACGGTTAACAAAGCAAGGTGCTTAGAACTGTTGAAGCTTCGCCTTTGCTAAAGGTATGTGAGTAAACTGTTTAAGGGTGGAGTGAATAATAAAAACCACTTGTGACAATTTACAGTGAGGCAGACCTCGAAGACGTGCTCCTTCTGCTATTAAAAACAGAAAACTACACAGTAACATTCCTCGGAGACACCCGCAACCCGTTCTGTGTGGACCTACCGGCGACCAAGCTCTCTGTGGACTCGCCGCCAAAGCATACGTTGCTCAAGTTCTTGGGCAATTTGTGCCCGGTCAACACGAGGAGACACAGGTTCGGTTTATTAATTTATTACCCATTATCAGAGAAATTCTTTACATTGTTAGTAGCGACACCTGGCGAGCTTAAGTAACCACACTATATATACATATATATATATATAAATAATAATAATAATAAATAAATAACGCACACACTCAACATAGCCCCGCACTAGGGAAACCCTGTGTCGCGGGTGCCATGGACACACACATAAACAACCACAAATTACACCCAAACTCACGAGAGAAATAATTGTAGGCCATACAACTATTTCTCTCGGCCCGGGAATCGAACCTGGGACTTCTGCGTGGCAGTCCGGCATGGTAACCGTTCGGCCACTGAGGCAGTTTATATAATAATATAGTATAATATAGTCTGTCTTTTTTGAAGACGGGGTGAAATGATAGTTCATTGCGGAAAAGTGTTGCCCGCTTGCGAGCAGCTAGTGATTGCAGTCGATAAATAATCTATCGACTATCGATTGAATATTGGTCACGCTTATGGGATAAATAGCCCGACTTGTTTCAATCGGATCATCCTCGACCCATTATTTATCCAATTACTGAGCACACATCATACACTGTATTTAGAACTATGTTTATGAAAAATACAAATAGGAGACTGTTGAAGGAGGTATCGAGCAAACCTTGTTAGTATGTGCGTTGTTTTGTAATTCAAATTTAAATATCTTTTCATGTTTCCATGTCATTGTTTTTTCTATGACATTATACTTTTGACTGCAGTCCTCAATAAGTGTATTTTTACATAATTTACTTAGATCTATTTTATTGTCTCTAATCCGAATGTCCTAGATCTTTGTGAGGTATCCATGAACTCCGGATTTCCCAACAGAGACATATTTTAAAGTTTTTCATTTTAATTCAATATAGTTAATCAAATCGGGCTATTCTTGTTAAGAGGGAGCAGAGGAAAAATTCCTAATCTTCGATTTGATTTTAGAGGGGTATATCCACTTTAAAGTTAAAAATAAAATATTATATGAGTAACTACACGATATATTCAAGCATAGACATTAATCAGAAACATAAAACAATAAAGTTTCCTCGATAGATAAAAATCACGAAATGACCTCTAATTTTCACATTTTTTCGATTTATCCTAGAAATGCTACAGTTTATTAAGACAAAAATTATATAATTAATTATATTTATGCATGATCGAGAACTGTCACTACGGATTTTTTTTAATCCCTTTAGTTTTAGAGTTATTCCGCTGAAACGAATTTGATGCGCAAAAGTCAACATCTCCTGTCGCATGTCACGCGAACTTCAGGCATATATGTATTTGTTTCACTTTGGGCGGAACCAACGTCAAAAACGTTTTTGGCATGCTCCCTCTTAAATTATATATGAATAAAAATTATTTTCGTTACTAGTAGGTCAACTATCAAAATAAGAATTAAGAAGGCGATAAAGCAATTGGTAATCATTAGAACGTCGAAACATTCGCCATTCAGTCATTTTTGGCAAAATTTTATCTTCTTTTTTTTTTAATTTATTAAGGCTTTGGCAAAGCCATCAGCCTAAACATGAAGTTTGTTTCTGTAAATATGGCCGCCACAAAGAAGATAGGCAATTTGAGGCGGCGTGTTTGGATTGACTCGGGATTCCTTAAAACGGGCCGATACGGATATTCTAGTTCGAGATTCATATAATTTCGCGTTTTAATCTTCGATTAAGGCACAATAGCACTATCCTATTCCACTTTAAACTAGATTTCACAAAATAATTGAAAGTCAAAATAAAAACGACACTTTTCCCTCCAAAAGATCCAGAGCGAATCTTTTATCTTCTTTCACAATCCATCGATAAAACTATCGACAACAACCGTAGGTGTACCAGAATCTGATGGCATTTAGACAAATTTAAATTTGTGGTGGGTAACAACAATATAGTAGGAAAAAATGTACTACATATTTCATATATTTTATTTGACCAGAATTGATCTATCCTCGTACATGTTTTATGATCTGTATGAATTTGTGTGTGAGAAAGGTAAGTAATTTCTGACACATTTTAAAATGTACAAAAAAATATATCAATTACATTGTGGGTGATAGATTTAATTACATTTGCAGTTTGAAGTAACTCGCATTTACGCTATTTATCTTTTTTTACCAATTATTGTCTACACAATGTGGTCTTGCCGACCAGTACCAACAAAAATGACATACTACATACCTACATTGACTTGGATCCGTTAAAATTTCAAAGATCATGTTTATTCACTCCTAGTAATCGGCAAGATTTGAGACCAGCTTCTAAATCGTGAGTTGTGATTGAGATGCACCTAATTTGTCGCTGATTTTGCGACAGAACGAGATTGAAGAGGATTCTCAATAATTCTTGCTACAAAATCGTTATTTTCAAGTGAAAAAAGTATCAGACAGCCATTTGATGCAAGTAATATTTTGAATCGACATGTGACAAGTTAACATTGCCAGATGAAAGTCGTTCGATTGTTCAAATATTTAATGCCATGAGATTCTGGTACTATTTCTTTCTGATTCTGGCAATATTTTATGAAAACTGGCAACCCTACAAATGTCATTTTACTCCATCTTCAAAAAAAAACAGACTATAGGTCCTATTAACTGGTGCGTAGGTGGCACTATAAATATCAATTTGATTCATATTGACAATGCCCAGAGGGCGCCTCGCCATTGTTTAAAAGGCGATCCATAATGTAACACTCTGCCTTTTTTCCTGTCTCTGCTCTGACAACACGATACGAAAACGCTTTAGGCAGTTTCATTGAATTTATCCCGAAATCTTTATTCAAAATTTATATAAATTTTTTTGTTAATCAGCTCGCCAGGCCAGGACCTAGTGAAATTTGATTTATTTCAAATCCCATGTGGACTAAACTTTTTTATGGCAAACAGTTAAAGCTAATTTTCAAACCCCGATTGCGTAAATATCTTTTATCACTGTCCTGGTCTGCAACATGTGTATTAGTAAGTATAAGTTATTAGTAAGTATAAGTTTATTTAGGTATATTTATATATACATATATCTACGTAGGTATAATATATCATTATTTTTTAAATATTTTATAAATTACTATGTGTCTTTATTTTGTGTTTTTTTTTATACAATTTTATTTTTTTATATTTTTATTTTTATATTTGTAAAATTGGCACACTAGGTCTCCCGCTCCGATTAGCTTTCCTCTAACTCTAAGGTTGTCTGGAAGAGATCGCTCTTAGCGATAAGACCGCCTTTGCCCACATTAGTTTTAAGTTGTTTATGTACTATTTTTGTTCTTGTGTGTGAGCAATAAAGTGTTTATCTATCTATCTATCTAAGTTACACATAATTGAGTAACAATAAGTCGAAGAAACAGCCGTGGTGGATAAATGTTTTGATCGTAGTCTTAGAACGTCAGGACATTTCCTTCTAGCTTTCCGCCGTGGTTGCCGTTTGTTCACTCCGCATATGTTCCACCTTCCTTCTGAAATTATTATTATGTTTATTTATTTTTATTTATTTAAAGTTATTAAAATAGTTGATAACCGATTATCGAGATATCTAGTACTTAGTTTATTCGCTAAATCAATGACTGTAGTTATTATTTAGAGCGGGTAACACCGAATGGAGTTGCAAGTGTCAGTTTTTCGGTGGAGAAGAAATTTGACAGGTCGCCGATTGTGAGATTGCACTTACAAACCCATTGTTTTTATGAGTTCTAGCTTTAGGTATACATCTAATCTTTCGTTTAATGGGTATTGGTTAAGCATTCAGTCATATTAATTAAATTTTTATTGAATTGATATTCAATTATTGTTTGTGAAATTACTCCACTAGTTTGTTATAATTATTAATACAAAGATCGAACACTCAGATAAAAATTCCAGGACTGGTAGCTGTAAAGATACTAACTGGGTGATAAATCTTTCATAGATTTCTCATAGATGGCGCTACGACTAAAAAGTCGTTGAAAAACCAAATACAAAGACACGACGCAAGCACATAGAAAAATTCGTGAGGTCCGTTGGTTCGTTCCGTGGCTTAGTTGGTATAGCGTCTGGCACGGTATGCAAGAAGACGTTGGCTCGAATGAATTTTTTCTGAGTGTTCGATCTTTGTATTAATAATTATTCAGTCATATTGTTTAAGTTTTTTTCGAGTAGCTTGTTTATGAATGCTTAACTATAATAACACGACTTATGTTAACAAATTTTAAGACACAATTCGACTTATTCCCTTAACTGCGACTGTTCTATAGCTATAAAAATACTTATGATACTAACCACATTGATAAAAGACATAAAGTCGTTAAAGGAATAAAACGACAAGTTTTCTGTTGCGAACTATTAGTCGCGGGTATGACCAATCCTGTCCAGTGGAACCAACGGAATGCTCAATTATACCCTTATGTACACTGTGGACTAACACAATAGTTGTTTTTAGTCCTATTTTTTTCCTAGTGATTATGGAACAATTCGAAAAGTGTCTTTATGTAAAAATATATCTGTACCTATAGTCCATCTGTTTAGGTACTTAAATAAATGTAAACAATCTTGAGATGTCTATTTAATGAAATATACATTTATAAAATTGTATTATATATGATTTTCCCTTACCTTCAAATACAAAATACAAATACTTAGCTGCATATGAAATTGCATGCCTATTTTTATACCTATTGAATTGTAAAGCATGTGTTTCAATAAAAAGTTGTATAAAGGTTGTTTACATTTAATTAAGTACCTAAACAAATGGACTATAGTCGTTAAACTTGCACGTATGTTTTGAGTTGAGACCACTTGTACCTTTAGACTCGTAAGAAATGAATCGTATAAAATAAGAAAAACGACGTTAGAAGACTTCTAGAGAGATGTCCTATTGATATGTTATGTAACCGATCACGCTGAAGCCAATGGTGCAATAAAAACAAAACGGCATAACTAGTCTTGTTCCGTTTTTCACTGGAGGCACTGATACTATCTAAAGCATTATAAATAACCATTACCTGTTTTCATGGTGAATATAATATGTAAGAAAATATCGTTTATTGATTCCTCTGTAACTTCTGAATGTTGTACCCGATTTCGAATTGTGTAGTATTGTTAGAATCCAAAGCCATTCCGAGGAAGCATGGCATTGGGTATCAAAAATGGCAAAACACAATTTTGGGGAGGAACGAGAAGGAGGAGGAAAAAGGGGAGGCCCCCTTTTGAACTTACTCCGACATACATATATATTTCACATTTTGAAAATTGAGTTATTATTATATAATTGCTAGTAAGGACCTGCCCTAGTATGCAGTAATGCAAAATATCATTGCACTATCCTTCCTACGGCAATTATTAACGCGTAACCCATGCTTATTACAGACCGGAGGCCGGCCGCAGCTTGGAGAACGACGACCTCCCCACTACCGACTCCGATCCCCCCTTCTCCACATCCGACATGGTTATCAAGGTAATTATCCTCTTCCTTTTATTAAAGAATGTTTGATTAACCAAAAACTACTACTAAACGTCTTTTCCATAAGTCCTTGTTGGGAATTTGGATTTGCAAAACCGGGGGAAAACTTTTTCTTCGATGATAACTCTATTTTTGTAATCTAGCCCTTTACGACAAAAGTAACAAAACGAGGTGGGTCGAATTATGTGTCCGGGATTATGAAATTCGCAGAACCACAGATATTCGTTGTTGGACACTTTCAATTATCAATTCGTTCAGTTGGCGAGTGGTTGCACCATCGATCAAACGCGGGCTAAATAAATCCACCCCCGGACCTGCAAGGGGCGCGCGGGGTGTTGGGGGGTCACGCGAATGACAGAATTCGCGATTCTCGCCGCGCGCGCTTTGGGCACTGCGACTCGGAACGACGGCGGAACGAATTGTGCGCGCGAGTACCTACTTTTTCTTTAATACAATAAGTGTAATACAGTACGCTAGTTTTATTCAACTGGATACCCCTTGTAAGCGATAGGGCTCTAGTTTCCACTAGCAAGTGACGAAAAACGTTTCTTTTTTAACTTGTTTTTTGCACGCTAGGGTGGAAAAGGTTTTTGAAATTCGAACTTGACGATGGACTGTGGCGCACCTAACTTTTTCTTTCGATGAATAAATAAAACTGATTTGTTTTATAGGAAATGAAACTATTTTTCCGGATTTAAATCGTATATATTTGTTTTTTCAAACAAACCGACGTTTCGGGCCCTTTATAGCTCCCACGGTCACAGTTGACTGAGGTGGTACAGTCTTCAACCAGTTATGTCTAATATTAATGCAAACCACCACATTTTTTCGCTATAGTTACAATAGTTATTAATTAAATACCTTATTTTTAATTTTACAAAGAAAACATTCCAATTTACGCTACATTACGTTTTACAAATTATTTTACTGAATGAATTTTTATTAAGTTCAATTTATTATTAATTAATAATAGAAATTAGAATTTACTAAAACATATTAATTAGTACTGCAGTCTTATGTCTGTTCGGGATTTTTCATCAGAGGAAATACTGGACCCCAAACTGGTGGTACGGAGAAACCATCTTCCCTGTTGAAATTAGGATGTTTTATATTTTCAACGGCCTCTCGCAGCATCCTGGGTAGATAATGGACGTCTTTTGCAAGGACCTGGGGTTTGTCAAACTTCATTGAATGTGTAGGTTTATCCATGACATGCACGCAGACTGCAGACTTGTTTACGCGACGGTGTTTGACGTCAGCTTTATGTTCTTTGACGCGGTTACAATAGATTTGTTATGGTTCAACTGTTTTCTTTATCTACCATTTTCCTCTCTATAGTGAGGTGAATAGTTGTGTGTTTCGCTCGGCAGCACAGTTTTGTTTTGCGTCTCATGCCTTGAAACCCTCGCTACGCTCAGGAGGATTTTTGAACCGTTCAATCTTACCTTCCTTCGCTTGCTCAGGTTGTTTTTAATACAAGCACTCGTGTTAAACAACAACTTTGCAGCCTTGCATAACAAACAAATATTTTTATGATACCAAGTGACGACAGGACGAGTAAGTCGTGCACCTGACGGTAAGCGACACGCCTGTCCGTAACAGTTGCAGTGCCGCTCAGAGCTTTAAACTGCAAACTCACGGCACTACGCCCGTCACCCTGACTCCACCAGCACTCTTACCATTCAAAACTGAAACGCAGTAATACTTACATTACTGTTTGGCGGTAGAAATAGATACGATAGCAGTACTTCCCTGGACGAGCTTTCACAAGGTGCTCTACTGCTACTAAAGATACCAAACAACAAACAACAAGAACACATGATGAATTTTGTTTCTATTTAAATTTATTTTCAATTTCAGGACTCGATGAAAGCGGAGAAACCACTAAACATGGCTTTAAAGTACGCGCGGTCATAGCGCTCTACGACGGTGACCAAGCGCAGCCTCATGCATGCGCTTGCGCAAGCCAGCAGACTGAGAGGAACGAAAAGACGTTAAGTGTAATGTTTGTCTTGGAATGTGCCCTGTGTTTATTTAGCAGCGGTATGTCGGAACTAACGATAACAAACAATTTGGTAATCTTAAATCCCGGTAAGGTCGTAATTTTGTTTATAGTTATCGAAATATTATTTGAATTAACTTATTGGCATATGTTTGAGGAAGTAAGTCGATGGAGTACGTGCCGTCTGTCATACAATACGCATCGAACATCAATACTTTTAAGTATGCAAGATGACAGGTTAGATCACGATGACAAAAGCACGCATTTATTTGCAGAAAAATTACAATTAGTAGATTACAATATTGTGAAGGAAAAAAAAACAAAATATTACTTCTACAATACGTTTGTCGATCATCTGCACCTATTAGAATGAACCCAGAACATTTACTCCCTTGATTTTTTTGTAAATACAGAAGTTTTTGTTTTTATTACCTTTTTAACTCAATAGAGAAACATAAGCGATAATAGATAAACCGTTCTATATTCGAATTTTTAATTGCAGATAATAAACTGACATCTTGTGGGTTGCCAGTTTTTGATAAAAGTAAAATAGTGTTGTCTTAAAGGATTGATTTCACTGACTCACTCAGTAGGTCATAAAAACAGTCTAGCAGATTTTTACCGATTAGATTCAGTCAGTTCATTGAGAACTGAACTAAAAACATCACCATAGAATAATTATGACAACAAGTGACAGTGAAGCTGTCAGTTTGTTACGTCACGTACGTATGATCGCCATATATTCTTATAAAACTGACACTGACCCAAGCATAGTGGACGCCATAAAGGAAATAATAATACAAAAGGCTTTATGCGATACTGCAATAGGTACGAAATAGCCTGATTCGTCTTCAAAGCAATTGTAATCTTTAATGTTTTTGACCGATTGTATTTTAATCAGTTCATTAAGAATTGAACATAATATACAATAAACATGGCAACATTATTTTAGCAGCTGTCAGTGTGTTATCTCTAATTGCTAATTTGCTTACAATCCGTGACGTGTTTTATCGGTCCAAATAATATTTCGTGAACTAAAACAAAGTAATGAATGAAATTATTTTTTTCCGACATGCAGCCATCTGTGGTATTTCGGAGTGATTGGTTTAAAAATGACATGTAGAAAAAGTAAAGCAATAAACAATTTTTGAACTAAAACATAATTACAGAATCACCGAGCGTAATCGCACATTAGGAGAATTACGAGTTGCAGAAACGTTTTTTAAAATAATCATTCATCTTTTAAGCCATGGTTGAAAGGAGAATCTAATAATATATTAAAAGTTCCTGACCCCCTGTACACGGAACACCACCTCTTCCTTTTAAAAATTAATAAAATGCCTTTATTTTTATTGGAGAAGCGAGAATTAAATTACTAGAATCTCTAGTAATTGTATTGGCGGTTGGAAAATCGGTTTTTATAAAGGGATTGTACTGAATTACAAAAAAAGTTGTTTAACACAAAAGAGCTGTCACTAGTCTACATTACAAATCGCAAAATGGAAAAAAATTCCTTTCATTCTTCATTCGTTCCTCCATTCACTCATTCATGCATATCTATCTTGAGTCGTGGCCTATACATACGTAGTCAAATAATTCGTTGATTACGCACTAAACGGATTAGAAACATAAGTAAGAAATCAATGTCGATCTATCATTTCACATTGATTTCTTACTACTGGCTTTTTGTGTCGCGAATTTAAGACATTCTATCCACAGTTCACTCATTGACAAAAACCAAAAGACACATTAAAACCTGGCGTTTAATGACTGGATGGCTCGGCAGGGCATATACTGACGGCAGTTATGCCGCGGTATCCCTGGGTACGACGTAGCATCTTTAAGCAAACCAAGGCATCCTTAGGCATACCGAAGCATTTTGTCGACATCATGCTCGCGCCTGGGTAGTCGCACATGGCGTCCTGAAGCCTGCCAAAGCATCCCGAAGGCTGCCGAAGCATCCCGAAGGCTGACGAAGCATACCGAAGGCTGCCGAAGCATCCCGAAGGCTGCCAAAGCATCCCGAAGACTAAGACTTTTCGGAGTCGGCCGACTCGGCATCCCTAAGCATGCCGCATCTTTGTTTTTGTAGCTACGACCATTACCATTGAAATTTCAACTGTAATGCCATAATCTTAAAGTATATTACCTTTGGTCACATGAAAATCCTTTGCTGAGCCGTCCTGTCAGTGGGCGCCAGGTCTAAGGGAATGGAAATAGGTATAGGAAATAGATAGTTCAAGGTCAAGCTGTCTTGCAAATGTCACAACTTTCCCCGTGTATAAATCCTCAGTACATGTCGGAAATAGATTCGCTCGGTGATCATATTGTTTATTGCAACTCTAAAGGTCGTAAAGTGCAAGGTCGAGAACACGTCGAGCGAAAATTAAGATTTAAATTAATTTTATGCCGTTTACGATAAGAACGGCGCAAAGTCCAAAGTGTCAAGCGTGTTCTTGACTGTAATATTTTGACGAAAATAAATTATTCACATAATTTAAAATTTAATACCTATGAAATTTTGAATCGAGATGAAATTTCCGTCAAAATTCGTGCCAAATTTGACATCTTATTGGCTTCATATTACGTGTCTTGTGTGTTCCTTTACTAGTCATTTGCAAAAAAGAAAGTGGATCAATGAACCTTGATGCAATGAATTCAAGGTGAGCTTTTCAATGGTGTTCATTTCCAATTTTACGTTTAGTTTATGATTTTAACTGTACTTGATGTCTTTTTCGTAGATAGAATTAATTGCTTTACCAAAAAAGAAAGTGCAATTTGGAACTGTGTAGAATGATTCGCCTTTTTGGCAATAAACATAAATTATCATAATTGTAATTACCTCCGACGGTCAAAAATTACCAGTTATTTCTCGGATCGCCCACTCAAAAACATTATGTTCACTTAGTCTAAACTTAAAATGTATTTATTTTAAACCAATACTTGCAATGCAAAAGACACTCTTAATACATTGTGTTAAGAGTGTCGTATCAATTTAAGCGTTGGTTTATACGTACTTAAATTTAGTGCAAGTGGCCTTAAGGTTTATTGTACAATTTTTGCACATCAACAAACAAAATTGCAAAACGTGATTACACTTTTTAAACAGAGGTAACTAGGGGTTTCTACGCTGCATTCCCGCGTTCCGGTAAAAAAATCGAGACTATTGTACTCGAAAATTATATGTAAGGCGTTTAGGTAGGCAAAATATTGATTATACCTCTTAGTTATCACATAGTTGCCGAAGTTACACGTGTGTTTAGCTTGCAATTGCCTGTAAATATATAAATAAGTATTTAAATGTTTTTATCAATAACATTTTAGTAAATACATATTTACTGTGTTTTCTTAAGATAAACACATGTGTTTACGTGTAATAACCTAGATTTGGCAGCTGTACTTCTCTGTGAGAATTGAAAGTTATAAGTTTTAATTTGTTTCTTTACAAAATCCAGTACTCTATCATTATTGTTTTCTGTTATGAAAATGTGCAGTACTGCGTTTACAAATGAGGCATGTTCCATAAAATATTCTTTACAATTGTGGCCTATACAACACCATCAAGTAAATTTCACAAACAACAACCTCATCAGCGACGTCATAGAATCAATTTAAAATTAGTTTAGTTCCAATTTTAACTAGTGGTCAATACCAATTGTTAATGCACAATTAGTTTAAACTTTTTTGTTTGAATTAAAATATAAAAATACACATTTTATTAATTTAAATCGAAATTTCAACATTAAATTTTACTTGTGTCAATATTATAAATTGGTGACTGCGTCCACCTGTCTGCAGTTGTCACTTCACTATCTCTTTATGACACTTAACAACCCAATGTATCCCCAATTCATAGCCAACCGTATTCAACGAGCATTATATATTGGTTATATAACAAACGCGAGGCTTTGTGTACAGGCCTTCAGTCAACAAATCTGAATGTCAATTAGTCAACAGTTGTTTTATTTCTACTTATAGTAACGGCACGCTATGATGGCTGTTTTGACGTTTGTCCGCTCATCAAGTTTCATATTAATTCAACTATACGTTGAAGGAGCTAATTGATGCACATTGTTGTCAATAGTGACGTGCTCAACTCGGCATTTGTTTTTTGAAATTCGAAATTTTTAAAATTTAATAATATTTCGATCGTCACTTAGAGGATCGCTGTCCAGCACAAGTCCTACATCCGGTAAACTCACGTCAAAGCTCAATGCAAAACAAAGCGGTTTCAAATTGACGATATATTAAGTAAACATTTTTATTTTCGTTTTATTAAAAAACTTTTTAATCTGCTACCACTTACAACACTAGTTATAAATCTAAAAACTTGTAGATGCGACTCGCATTTAATTATATTTTTTACGATAATGAATTGAGATTTCACCTCACTAATGTAATCTGTCAAAACGGCCATCATAGCGTGCCGGTACTATAGTCCTTGTAATATAATGATTTTTTTAAAGAATTTTATTTTTCTAAAAATATATGTAGTTCCATTCGCTTATAAAAAGAATATGGAAGTCGTTAGTTCAATTAAAATATCAGTATTTTGTAGTACATTACTAGTTAGCTAAATACCCAAGGTGAAGGCAGATGTTGTCTCAGAAAAAATATATGTATATACTTATGATTTTCTTTTTGAATATAGAGATGTACCTTCAATATGTTATGGAATATACGTAATAGAACTAATTTCTGTTATGGACGACAACACTAATATTAAAAACTGCTGTTATACAACCGCGTTCGGTAGATTGAGTTGAGCCCTGCGGGTTTTAAAGCGATTAAGAAACAATGTTTCCTCTCTTTGCCTCTCAAATCAAAGCCTTACCAAAGCGGAGCGCTGAATACCTATATTATTTTGACTAAGCATATCACGTCCCCGCATAGACGTCCAACCGTATGATACTTCCCTTCTAAACCATCACAAACTAGGTCGGTTTTGGTTGTGGTACAAATTGATAATTTACTTAGTATATACTATAAATCAATGATGGTTACGATGATAGCAAAGTTATCGTGGCCGGAATAAGAAGA